ATTTTTTTTTTTCATTTAACTTTTTAGCTATCACATGGGAAATGGTAAGCCCCTTGTGATAGCTTAGGGCAGTAACGGTAACTCTTTATGTAGATATTAGGGGTTTCTGATGTACCCCGTGCCCTCCAAAGTAACTATCCAAACACAGATCATCATCATTTCAGGGTGCATTCATCACAAAGGAGATCAGGGAACGGAATTCCTCCATCTCCTCTGTGGGAAGCCATCCTGGCCCCCAATGATGTCCCAGGCTCCCAGTAGGAAAGGGAGAGCCTGGCAGCCCTTTCCAGCACTGTAAAAGTGATCACTTTTACAAAACTTCCAGCTCTGAAAAAAGTATTTTTTTCCTTTTACTGTGACATTCTGCATGTTTGGCTTGTTAAGTTTACAAACAAGATCAGATTCACTGCAAAAAAAAAAAAAATTGAAACGTCTTCCTTAAAATGACGTTGGTCTCTTTCTGATGTCTATAACAAGAATGTAGTAGTGAGGTCTATTTACCTCTAGAAGATTTTTACTGTAATATCTTGTTCATGCCAGGTTCTAATTCTTTCCATTTTCACTTGTTTTCTGCTTCTAACTTGCAAAAAAAAAAACACACCAGTATAATGAACTTTTGAGAAGAGTAATTTGAGTCGGCTATTCCAGCCAGTAAGTCAGGTGTGGGTTTTAGTTGGTCAGCTATAATGGGGAGGGAGGGGAGGAAGAAACACCACAATTAGAAGTACACTATTGATTTTAAAATGGAACTTCACTCCCCATTAATAGGGAGTCATTTGAGATGTGGGCATTCCTGCAGTGAGGATAATAGATAATCTGCAAAGAGATTGAGCAATGTCACCACCTCTTCTGGTACTGGACATCTTCAAAGAACCAGAGCATGCTGTACAATGAGGTGGCATATGATGACAGATTAAGAATTGCAGGCATCTTTCATCCCATATCCTCGATGTTGATGAATCAACCACAAGATTAGATAAACAATGAAGGAAAGTGGTAAGAGGCAAAAAAAACTTTCCCACGTTTAATTAAAGAAGAACTTTCACCAGAAGTTAAAGTCTTGATAAACCCTCCAGGGGACCCAGTGCACTTGTCCCCTGTTAAAATCGATGCTGTGGTTTGTAAATAAAACACAGCCTCCCACAGCCCCTTGTCATTCAGCCAGAAGTCCATTTTCTTTGTCCTGCATTGATGAATAGCAGTGGGAGGGGATAGCTGTCTGACAGCAGTGCTAAGAAACCACAGTACCATTTTTAACAGGGACAAGTGCTATGTGCACAGGGTCCCCTGTGGAATTTAACAAGCTTTATTAACCTCTGATGAGACTTTTTTTTTCTTTAAAATCGCCAAGATGTTTAAAAACACTACTGAAACGATGGTCAGTATACACAAGTAGTACCCTTTGGTGAAGGTGTTATTCTAAACCCAAATATATTGGGTGCCTGTATTGGTATGCCTTACATTTACAAATTTATATTAATAATTACATCATGGCTTAAGATGATATTGTATACAACAGCAAACAGGTGCCTTGTCCTTGTTCTGCTATTTTGTAATGTGTTGTAAAAATGGGGAATAAAATAAAATTTAAACCTCTGTTTTCATTTAGCCAAGTTACTTGATTTCTTAGTTGTATTGTATTGTCTTCTATATAAATTTTAAAATCCCAGTTACGCAGCTATCCTACTTTAGGCATTTGCTTTTTTTTTTTTTATCCATGACTTTATTAAAAAACAAAAAAATCCCAATATTTTCAGAGCTTTTTTTTTAAACTGATGAATATGTTCACAGTATGGCCAAGTACAACATGAATACATATTATATGGTTTTCTTAATTTTAGATGGCTAAAGCTAGAATTTATTTTTTGTATATGTTGTATGTGTATTTAGAGTATGTAGAAATTATTTCAAATTTGTTGTTCACCGAGTCAGCCAGCAAGTGGCAGTAGAATTCCATGGTTTTCTTTTTCCTCTTTGTTTATGGTTCACATGGGTGGCTGCTTAAATCTGTTTTTCGAATTGAAAAAAGGAGACAACTTCACACCCAAATTTATTTTTCCGTCTGTGTAATTTGAGAATGATATTTGCTGCCATTTTAAAATTTAGAATCCGTACATGCATTTAATAACCTACAGGTTAACATAAAACAAATAAGTCCAACATACCTCAGTTTCATTTATGTACAATAGAATTAGTAATAAAAAAAAAAGTAATATTGTTGCTGTTAAATTATTTTTTGTCACAAAGTTGCTTTCACGTGTTATATTTTTGTTTATCATTTAAAATAACGTTTTAAAATGTTTACTTTTAACATAACTGCAAGTGCTAAGATTCATCAAAAATGGAGTTGACCCCATTGCCCATCTATCTGACTCACTGGTGAGCTCTTTTCATGGAAACCTCAAACTTCTAGGTTTTGAGTGGGTTTTCTGGCCTTCCATAATGCAGTGCTGAGTACATTAATGGAAAAGGCTTACAAACTCCTTATAATTTTCAGGATTTCTCCATAGAATACTTCTAAAATAAGATCTGATCTTCCTCTAAAACATACTTTTAAATCAGGAGTAGTCCTTAATGTGTCACTGTTCCCAGGAAGCAGCCTGTGATTTGGACTTACTCTCTTGTAGCCAATGTCTGCTTCCCCAGCTGCAAGCTGTAGTTCCATGTACTGGCCCCCACATAACCACTGTGCCAGATGTGAAGGGCCAGCTGATGGAACCACAGCACACAGCCACCTTGTGCTCCCCAAAGTGTCTTGGAGGCAAAGAATTTGCCATAGACATCACTTTGCAAGAGAGATCTGAGGAATAGGGAGTTAAATTCTCAGCTTGTGCAGGCTGCTTCTTGGGCACTGTGGTGGTTTTTTTTGTTTGCCTTTCCGTTTCCTTATTGAGATTATTAAAAAGTTATAAAAAAACAATTTTAATGTCTACAATAAAAATCTGAAAAGAGGATAAATTGGAGTTCAGTCAATGGAAATATTAGACCTATCCTGAAAATAATATTGATTTCCTTCTTTTTGCAACATGCTGCAATTTTTTTGTTGCAATATGGATTATTCCTATGAATTTTCAGATTACTTTAGAAGTCTAAGGAAAACACTGAAGAATAAAAATGTACAAAAAAAATACCTCTAGTGTTTAGTAAAGACAGTAAGGCCTCTTTCACATGGGTGGTTGTTCTGCTGCTTGTTTTTTTTTTTTTTTTTTTGAAATTCCAAAACTCCTGGCACAGAAGAGATCACTTGCATTTGCACATTGCGTTTATCTGCGATTCCGTGCGTTTACATGCGGCTGCATTTAGTTGCGGTAGTGAATTCTTGCCTTTTCTATAGCAACTGTTTACTTATTTTTTAGTTTACTTTTCATTTGTACTGCGATTAATTGCTTTTATGTACAGATAGCTGCAGTACATCGCTCCTGGACGGTGTCAATTTTATTTTTCCTAAGCGCATAAAACCATATGTTATGAAAATGTTGCTAAGTGCAGTGTGTGAATGGAGCCATAGGAATGCATTGTGTGCATTTAGCTGTGGTAAATAAGTTCCTCTAACAGCTGAAATCTAACGGCTGTGTGAGAGGGGCCTTACTAAGTTCTAGGACTCTAGAAGCAATGATTGATGAGACTGAAGCTAAATGGGAAATGTACACATTATTACCTTGTGTTTGGAGATAACAAAGCATTGTGTGTCAACATCAAAGCCACGTTCCAAAAGACAAAAATACACATTACACAATAAAGGACAAACTTAAGATATGGTTTTCAATTACACTAGGACAGGGGTGCTCAAGCTTTTGAAGAGTGCAGGCCACTTAAGTGATATGGTAACCAGTCGCAGGCCACAATGAAATGAAATGGTTCAGCATTTTGATTATTTTTTTTTTTTTTAATTTAACCACTTGAGCCCCAGAGGATTTACCCCCCTTAATGACCAGGCCTTTTTTTGCTGTTTGGCGCTGCACTAATTCAAATGATAATTGCGCGGTCATGCAATGCTCTATCGGAAGTCGCCAGCGACACTGATCAGTAAAAATCGCTTCACTGATCAGTGACACTGGTGACAGGGCAGTGAAAGGTTAACTGGGGGGGGACGATCAGGGGGTTAAATGTGTCCTAGAGTGTTCTAACTGTAGTGTAGTGCTTGTGTACTCACTTTTTGGATGTCTTCTTCTCTGTCTGGAACGGAATGTGTCCAGGCAGAGAAGAATGACATCATATCCTGCCCTGTGTATTTGTCAACACAGGACAGGATAGGACAGGGACCGATCATGTGATTTCAGCCAGAAATCACTGGCTAAAATCTAATGATTGATCCCTCCTGGATCGAATCGGATCACCCGCGGGTCGGCGGGAGCGCGCGCGCCCCCTGCCGGCGAAAGTGTCGGGAGCGCGGAACCCGTTTTTAAACGTGGTTTTGCGCTCCACTGCCGCCCTGCACACGTATATACACAGTGGCAGGGCGGCAAGCGGTTAAGTTTGAATAGCTTAATGAAGATTTTAACAACAAACAGGATCATAACTTTCCGTGGGACAAATCCCCATTGGATGTTTAACCACTGTTTAACCCCTTTGCCCTCCAGAGGATTTACCCCCTCCTCCTGACCAGGCCATTTTTTGCGGTGTGGCGCTGTGTTACTTTGATAATTGTGCGGTTATGCAGCGCTGTACGTAAATGAAATTTGACATTTTTCCCCCACAAATAGAGCTTTCTTTTGGTGGTGTTTGATCACCTCTGCGTTTTTGTTTTTTTGCACTATAAACAAAATAAGACCAACAATTTTGAAAAACAAATCACCAGTATTTTTTACTTTTTGCTATAAAACCTATCCAGTAAAAAAATTAAAAAAATAGTTTCTTCATAAATATAGGCCAAAATGTATTCTGCTACATGTTTTGCTAAAAAAAAAATCCCAATAAGTGTATATTGGTTTACGTGAAAGTTATAGCGTCCACAAATGGTGGTTATATATACTGGATTTTCTTTTGCCACGATCAACGACTTGTAGCGGGACTGCAGCAGGCATTCTGACACTGAGTGGGAACTGACTAACTGCCACTGACATCCCCAGTAACACTAATACAGTGATCAGTGCTAATAAAAAGCACTGACACTGTACTAATGACACTGGGCAGGAAGGGGTTAACATCTGGAGCGATCAAAGGGTTAACTGTGCTGTGTGTGCTTTACATTATGCTCTGTGTTGTGTTTTACTAGGGAGACATGCTGCTTTGTATTTTTTTCTGCTGTGCAGAGAAACACAAAGCGGCATGTCTATGCTAACAGGAGAGAGACCTGTGTTATTTACACACATATCTCTCCCCTGTCAGCTCTGCCGATGAACGCCAAGTCCTGGCCGAGAATCGCCGGCCGGGACCTGGTGATTGACATGTTCAGCAGCCAATAGCGGCGCACACCCCCTACCTGGAAACGCAAATCACGTTATATGCATGATTTTACACATCCCTCCGCCCTCTAGCAGTACTTCTGCTATGGGGCGGAGGGGAAGTGGTTAATCACAGTCACAAAAATCTTATTAACCAGTGTTACTAAACTCACAACAGTGAAATCAGTCTGTATTTGCAGTACAGCATACTTGTTATACTCACTGTGGAACCTAAGGGGTTAATCCTCTACATTGTGTAAAAAGGCTGTTTCATCCTGTCTTCTCTAATCCTCCCCTTCTTCTACTATCCTCAACCCATCTGCTGATAGATCAGAGTTCTAGAAGACATGCACAGTTTAGTGTATATTGCTAGAGAGCTTTTTTTTTTTCTTTGGTACGGTGCATGTGATCAGCACAGGGCCGATCAGCACTGTCCAGACAGAGGGTCAGGGGTCATGAAGCCTCATAGGACAGTCAGAGGTAAATGAAAACTCCTCCTACAAGCTTTAACCAGTGCTCTGTTGGACACTGATAGAGGTCATAATGCTGCTATATACTGCTGATGAGAAAAGGTATTTAGCAGTTGCTCTTTACTAAAATAATTAATTGTATTTCCATGTTCTGTGTACTGTAGGAGACCATATGTAGTGAATGCAGGTTCCTGGGTTTAGTAACACTTTATTCCCACTCTCGCACTCAGGTGTGACCAGCCAAAAAAGCTCCGAATCAGTGTTGCAGCCTTCACTATATCAGGGTCTTTGCAGCCATACCTTGAATTCCCAAAACAAGGACTGTGGATAATCTAAACCAAAAACCGCCCAGGGAAGTGTATACCCTAGTAGTGCAATACATTTCTTTATTAAGCAAAGATAAAATGATACCTAATGCACGCACATGTTCCCGGAGGGACACCAAGCTTATCATACAGCGGTGATGAGCCACCTTCAGAACCCCTATTATGGACACCACTAGATGTAATCCACTCTCCCTGTGTCTTTGTGTTCAGAAAGAAGCAAGAGCGGGGAACTGACTGCAATAGTGACTTGTGCTTGACCGCTACCAATTTATGGAGGACCAGCATATATTCAGTAGACCGGTGTGCCCTCAAAGGAGGCTGCGTGGATTGTCATACGTTTGCGGGCCACATCAGATGGCTTCATGGGCCACATTTGGCCTGCAAGCCATGGATTGAGCATGCCTGCAATAGGACAGATGAAAATTACAGCTGAATATAAAGCGGCAGTATATGCTACATAAAAAATAATTTAAATGACCCCTATAGCTATAAAGTGTTGGTATGCACTGCATACAAACAAATTATGGCAGACTTGCCTTTCACACAGAGCCATCTAGTGCCAAGCTTGTCATTGCTCCCTGTGTTTCTATCTTTACCTGGTCTTCCTTTCAGGTTCACACTCCCCGGCCATCTGAATCACTGAGATGAGGTCACTCGCACGTGAGCACAGGAGTCACTCTCTGGACACAGTACTCTTTGCAGTCATGGCACATTCAGTGTTCCATGAATGCAGAGAGCACTAAGCATGTGTTGGTGGCATCATCAGATGGAGCTGATGTTGATATCAACTAAACGGCACAAGTGCAGCCTGTTTCTAAGGCACCTACAGGTAAGACCTTTTTAAAAGCTTACCTGTGGGTGAAAGTTTCAATACCACTTTAATTGACATCTAAATCACTGTTTAAAATTTTACCCAAGGAGATCATTATTTTGTGATTTGTTTAAATATTGTGCGTAAGGGTTGTTTCCAACAGTAGCAGAATAAGTAGAACCAGTGGGCTCCTGAAAAGCAATCAGAAAAAGGAACACCTAGACACAACTCTAGATGGTGCGTTGATTACTTTTAAAACAGTTACCCATTCTTAGATTTTTCTTTCTCAGTGACAAGCAGACCTATATCTGTTGCATTCAGGACATATTTGCGCAGGGCAGGTTCTCTTACAGTATTTTTTCTCAAGACAAATGCACCCTTATTGGATTGCAGAATGACGGGGAAGTGGGGACATGGCAGGGCTCTGTACAGCCCTTCACACTTTTATGAGGGCTCTCTGTGTAGGTGCAGCCAGCAGTGAATACGATTTTGCTCAGAAGATGTAAACATCAGGATATTTTGTAGCTTTCCTCCTGAGTTAAGCAGTTGGCTGGGGTGGGGGGCTTATAAGAGAATTTAGTTCAGTACTGCTAGGACAAAAGGGCAAGTGAAATTTTTGTGACATGCTCCTGTATTGTTGGATCAGATTACATAGTTGCATAATAGTCTGGCTGAAAAAAATACAAAAGTCCATTCAGTTCAACCATAAAAAAAAAGTTATAATCCTATACCCAAAGTTGATCGAGAGGAAGGCAAAAAAATCCAGCAAAGCATGATCCAATTTGTTCCTGCAGGGGGAAAAAATTCCTTCTTGATCCCCCGGATATTCCTTGGATTAACTTTACCTATAAATGTTAGTATCCAGTTATATTATGTGTATCCAAGAAAGAATCCAAGCTTTTTCTAAAGCAATCCACTGAGCTGGCCAGAACCAACTGTTGAGGGAGTCTATTCCACATTCTCACAGCTCTTACTGTGAAGAAATCTTTCCGTATTTGGAGAGTAAATCTCTTTTCTTCCAGACGTAAAGAGTGCCCCTTTGTCCTCTGTGATGACCTCAGGGTGAATAGCTCTACACTAAGTTCACTACATGAACCACTGATGTATTTATACATGTTGATCATATCCCCCTTAACCTCCTCTTCTCAAGAGAGAATAAATTCAGTAGATTATTTGATTTCAGCATAGATTTTCCTATTTGGTGGAAAAAAATATTGCATTTTACATTACATTATTGGCATAAGAGTATTATTACCTATAGCTGGGGTAGACAACTCTGGAGAGGTGGACATCCACCTGAACAACATAGAAGGGGTCAGCTAGTAGGTGATGCAGAGTTCCGGCATCCCTGGTAGGCAAAGCAGAGTTTTGGTCTCAAAAGATCGACAGTCCCTGAGAATGAGGGATAGTTTGTAGCTATGCTGATGCTAGCAAGAAACTTGGTTTCGCGTTGTTGTGGCAGGTGCTGCACAGACATCAAGACTCTCTAAACTCCATTTATGCTCAGTTTGTGAACTACAAAGCCTTGGGTAAGCAAAGAAATGCAGGCGCTAATGCACTGAGTATCTTGGAATTAACAAATATTGTTTGTTACACTACATGAAATTACTTTGGTCCCACGTATCGGCAACAAAAACTTTTTTCTGTAAAAGGCAACTTGCGTTATGTAAAACGTGCACATAACAGGAATGCCGTTAAAGAACACATGTTTTCTTGTTATCAATTAATGGACATTGCAAAAGGGTTTATTAGAGGGTCACTTTTGGCACTCTGGGTCGGCATGAACAGTTCTGTTTTGCATAAATAAAATCTAAATGACTGAGCGAAGTAGGCTAGAGCTCTAGCTGTTCTTTTCACAACTTATGGGGTCATTGCTATTGCTGTTCTGTTGATGCCATCTAACACATTTCAGGCACAGTGCCTAAGTAAGAGCAATTCCAGTCATAAAATTGATATAGAGAAGCTTGACAACCGTGTGGTATAGGTCTTGTGCAGAGTCATTCTATATAGCTGCATTTTACAGATAAAGCTGATCTTGTGAAAAGGCCATACCTCCTACAAATAATCCATTCTCGGCTTACTGGAGGCCTTAAGCCATTAGAGACTGCACTCATTACTAGTGTGGATGCCAATATTAATTGGTACTGGGGATAGCAGAAAAAGTGTGTGCTGGTTTTATAGCCAAATACTGTTTTGGTAGATTTCATTTGCTGCTTTTGGACATACAGGTATGTCCCCTTGCAATAATGGTTAAATAGAAGCACCAACTGCTTGGTTTACTTCAACATGAATCCTTTACACCCCTTCGGGGCAAGGAGAAGCCAAGACAGTTTGACTATATGGGCAATTGCACATTTGTGGGTTGAGAAAATTGGGTCTCTATCTTGCACAGATTAAAGAGGAACTTTAGGTAAAAATGAAAAATGCGCAGACAGGCAGGATTTTTAAGGCAGAATAGACAGGCAGGCGCAGCTCACTGTACAAATTCGGCAATGGTGAATTTGATTGAACTCCTGCGCATGCGCTGGAGTGATGTCATCCCAGCTCGGCCAATGACAGCGTCCAGCATTTGGGACCCAGAAGCCGACCGCCCGGAGATGTCAGTGGCCAGATGGGGAGCTCTGGGACAGTGCATTGCAGGATCAGTTGCGAGTAGTATGTAATCCTAGTCAGTGATAGTACTACATTTTAAGATGTAAAGTGATATTAAACTTTTATTTTTTTTCAATAATAAACATGTTATACTTATTCTGTGCAATAGTTTTGCACAGAGCTTATCTGACCCTCCTCTTGGGTCCTCAGCCTGCGCTCCTGGCTCCTCCTCCCTTCTGAATACCCCCCCTAGCAAGCTGCTTGCTAAGGAGGTTACTTATGCAGGCATTGCCCCACCCCTGCTTCCTTGTTATAGGATTTAATTGACAGCAGCAGGAGCCAATGTCTCCTGATGCTATCAATCTGCCATCTGAGGAGGGAGAAAGCAATAAGACCTGCAGCTCTTTTGCGGAGCGCTGGATCGAGTTTATGCTCAGGTAGGTATAAGTGGGGTGAGGGGGGATCCTGCAGCACAGAAGATTTTTTTTTTTTTTCCTTAATGCTAGAGTGTGCATTAGGTATAAAAACCTTTAGGCTTTAAACCCACTTTAAGCGCAAAATAGGATTTAATATTTGCACCGAACAACAGTATATAGCAGCAAAGTACAGCATTCAATTTAGCTTTCTTGTGTAAGCAGGACTACAGCTGACAGTTTCTGCCATCCACACAAGGTGGATGTGGTTATCTTCCCCACTGTGTCATTATATTCTGACAGTGGGACTTCTCCCGCCATCAGAATAAACTGATAAGCTCTCATGCACTGATCGAAGCAAAATTTTCCAACCAGCCCATTCATGAGGAGTCTATCTTTAGGTCAGCTTCTAATGAATGGGAGCAGCTATAGATGGAACAGCTGAACAGGCCAAATTTTGATCCATCTATGGGCAGCTTGAGAAATGTTTTTTTTTTTTTTTTCTTTAATTGTATGTGGTTTAGAGTATCTATCCTATAAGGAATTTATGGCTAAGTAAGCATGACTCTTGTAAGAAGAGGACAGAGGTTTTTGGCTACATTTCCTTACTAGGTTTGGTCAAATTGTAAATTACATTTTTTATTTGTTTTACATTAAAAGATCCTTGAACTGATTTTGCTCTAATAATTTTAGGTATGAAATCGTTCCACCATGACTTTTCTAGTGAAGATATTCCAATGCAGATTTCCAAAACAAGCCATCATCAAACTGTTTCTGAAGATGCCAGCAAATGTGATGACAGCCAGATTACATTGGATGTGAAAAATCCACCATTTGTGAAAAGTGAATTTATGCCAGATTTGAAAGTACCAGCTCACAAATACAACACAGACCCTCACAAAACTATCCAGAACAGTAGTACATTGATTTCTGTGGTGCAAAATAATGCTGAGACTGTTGACAAGAAAAAACATTTGGCATCTGAGAAAATGCATCCAAATGGAATGGCACTTGATTTACTTAAAGAACGTTCAGCACAAGATGCTACCACTGTGGTTAAAGAAGGTCTTATTCCACTGGATCTAAGTGAAAAATCAAGTAGAGATGAGTTTTGCAGTAAGAGTGCTACTGAATCTTTGAAGGCTGCATTAGTTATTCATCAATGTCCCTACTGTAGTCATAAAACTTTTTATCCTGAGGTTTTGTGGATGCACAAAAGAATTTGGCATAAAGTCAGTTGTAATTCCATGGCTCCACAGTGGGTTCAGCAAAATGGGTTTAAAAATTTGAAAAATAGTGTGCTTTTTCTTGTCAGAAATGGACGCACTGGTCCCCCTCCAGCACTTGGTGGCAAAGAGTGCCAACCATTGCCCATTGCCAGGTTCACACGTACACAGATGCCTAGTGTACCTTCAGCACCTAAAGGCAGCCCTGTAACAATGGGAAACACTTCAAAGGCTAATTGTGGATCTCAGGTGCGTGAAAACTCTCGTGGGTTTAATGGACCTAAATCAGCAAGCTTGAATGCACAACGACAGCCCAAAGTGGCACATGCTCAGGAGCAATACAGTTCAGTGGTACAACAGCCTGTGTCAAAGGCAAAGTATGATTCAAGCCCTAAACTGAACCAAGCTGGAAGCTACGGCAGAAGTCACACACCTGCTCAGACATCTGTATCAAGACAAATTTTGCAGCCTTCTAGTAGTAAACAATCCGAAAAATACATAATTTCCCAAGGAGCACCTAGTTATGCATCTCCAAATAAACTTTCTTTGCCTGATGCGATTAAAACCAAATTCACATTGTCACAACCACAATTTCCATTTCATAAAGTAGATCCACATGTTAAACAGGAGAGCCCTCTAGTGCCTCAAAGGGAATCTCAGGCCAAGAATATAAATGAAGTTGGAACAGTGCCCAACTGTAGTGCTGGATCCAAGTCAAGCTCTGTTTTGCAAACTCAGTCAAGTGCAACGGGTGCCTCTTCGCCTTTTCAACCAGTAAAACAAGAACAAGCACCTGAGGGCCACGAAAAGAAACTAGACATTTTAAATATCTTTAAGACCTACATTCCAAAGGACCTAGCTACACTGTACCAAAGTTGGGGAGCCAATAATAATAATTTGGACAATGCAGGTAATTTATTCTGCCATTAAAGTTCAAATATGCATTAAATTGTTAAAATTGAAAGAATGAACATAGATTTATAATGAATTATATAATTGTATTCTGTGTATGTAACTTTGCGATTTGACTTTGTAATATCTGTCCTAATACTTTAGAACATCCCATTGACATGGATATCTATGGCATAAATACCTGTTTAGAATTTAACATAAACCTGTTACATATGAGAGGTAGAAAAGCTGCTACAAGACATTAAAACTGGCTCCACATATCTCTTTCTATCCTCCCACTGTCTAGTAGCCCCAAACTAAATTTGCTTGGTTAAGCCTAAATTATACAAATGTACAAATTTAAAGTCTTCCATCTTCACCATGACACACTTGGCAAAAATCTGCAATGTGTTTGAAAGTATGCATCCGTGTAGACCTTAACAGAGTTGTTTATACCATGGTGGTGGGTGCAGACGCTGGCCAAACTTTGCAGCCAGCTTTGTTCAGCACGAAGTGATGCAACCACGATGTAGTATAGTACACGTATACTGTTACATTTACACACCATACTAAATATAGGAAAGGGTGTTCAAAAAACATGTAATAAGCTTTAAAATTGCTCTGGTCTTGCTACATGTGTAAGTTAGGCTGTATACATGTGGGAAAGCTTGTAGATTGATGACATGGAGTCCAACTTCAAACTGATATAACAATATAATTTAACTTTTTGTAAACCTGACCCCAGTTCTGAAACCAAATCTCTGGCTTCCCCCTAAACTCGACTTCTGGCATACTTGGCTAGCTAGGTTGATGTCACTTGGCCTTCCACCAGGATCACTAGTGATCTCAATACCCAGAAGAATGAGCAGACACTGTGAGAAGGCCAAGTAATGTCACCCTAACCAAGCCAGATATGGCAAAACCTTGGGTTTAAGGCGAGCATGTTTTAATGCTAATTAATGCAAATACTTTTTGATGTCAATTTAAATGTAAATGCATTTCAGTGGGTCTTGCTGTGTCAAAAGAAACATAAATCAGGAAAGCTTTGTACACAACTATTATAGATTCAATTAGGGTTGCACAGATATCGAATACTTGCACGAGTGCAAATGCTCCCGATATCCATAACCGATACCTTTTGCGGTGCTGTTTGAGCCCATACAAAATGAATGGGTTCAAACCGCACTGCAAACAATTGCTTGCAATTTTATTAGGAATTCAGTTTCCCCTTCTGCTCCTGTGTGATCCCAGTGTGGAAAGACAGGGAAGTGCCATCTAAGAAGTGCAGCAATGGGCAAATGTTTATTAAAAGTACATAATATATCTTGCATGTCAAATCCAAAACCATGGCTGCTTGCAGTGCTCACAGGGCTGGAGATGTATGGGCAGTCCGCCCCCAAGGTGACATCACTTCCATCCTATACCCACAGGGGTCCTGGAACTTTCAACATCTCCTCCAGCCCTGGGAGCGCCGCAAGTTCCCATGGTTTTGGATTTGACATGCAAGATATAACACATAATGCCTCTAGTGCCATGGAGTCATTTTAGCAGTTTACATTGACTGTGAAAATAATAAAATCTCAAGGGAAATTGATATTATCTGGATTTGCTGGCTCTAAGCTTCAAGATTTATGCTGGCTATACATGGCTTGAATTTTATTTGGTTTAGCAGGGACCAGCCGAATGTTAATCCATGTATGGGGTCCCCTGGTTGATCTATCATCTGTAAATCAAGCCTGTTGGGTTTTTCTGAAACGATTAGTGCCGACAGCTATAGCCAGAAACACTAATCGTTGTGTTCTGCCGGCAGGGAAGACTTCCTGCCAGCAGTACAGAATAGCGCTGCGGGAAGGATTCCCCCATCAACAATGACAATTTTTTATTCCATTTCTGATGAAAGGAAAGAACATTGCATATGCTATGGCCTGCCCTAGTATACAGTTACTGCAAACCTTACTTTTCAGAAAATTATTTCCTTTAAAAATATGTTGGTTTCTTAATTGCAAACTAAGGGACACGGGATGAAGCATTCAGGTGCATTTGGGTTACGCTGCTACCTTCAGGAGATTGGACATTGGCAAAATAATGCTGTAATGACCCAGTATAACCCCTCCCATTCTGGTGCTTACAATGGATTGCTTTTATTTGTTTATATAAAGCCTTTTTCCTAAAAGAAAAAAAAACTTACTGTAACTGCATGATAAGTGTTAGCTGGAGTTTTTATGTATAGTTCATCTAACATTACGCTCTACACTGGTTGACAATGCTGCTGTCCAAGGGTGGCTACATTGCCCCTCCATAGATACAATGAAGGCTTTGATGTAGCTACCCTAAGACAGGAGGTGTCTTACTGACTGTTCACCAGATAGAAAAAAAAAAAAGAAAAGCTTGAAAAGTGAAAACTAATGTAGCTACATCAATGATTGGTAGCCTAGAATATATTATATTTTTGTTTTGGAGTTTAATTATGCTTCAATCATACTATATATTCAAATGTCTATAATAATATATAATATGTTTTTTTCATACTGTGCTTATGAGTTATTAGTAACCACCTGCAAGTTATATTATCCTTAAAAAAAAAAAAAAAAAATCATACATTACAGGCATGGTTTGCATTAATTACCCTGTTTTTATTTATCCAACTCAATCAAATTGCTTTCTTTATACTAGTTGGAAAAACTAGTATAAAGAAAGTAATTTGATTGAGTTGGATTCTTATCAAATGTAGTCTGAAACACTGAATAGATCTTGCAATGTGTTGAAACAAGCTGGAAGCACAGCATGTTGTTTCTGAGAGATTCTAGTTAACAGAAACAAATGATATTCAAAAGAAAACTAAAAGTCAGACATGTCTTTCTCAATCAGCAGCAAAGACAACAGCTAGCCCTTTAAGTCAGATGTTGTATACTGACCTTTAAAAAAAGGAAGGTCTGAGTAGTTTTCCACAAATGCTAATGGCCCAGAAAACATGTTTACTAAAGGCAGGAAATAGGACTTTAATGCTGCTACTGTCTCAAAGCATCCAGAAAGACACTCTCATTCTCAGATGTCTTTAGTCTGTGCCTCCCAGGTCTAGGGTCAAAGCAGCACCAGCAGGCAGATAGGTAAGGGCTAAAGGTTTGATCAGTCTGTGATGGCTCCACTCACTCTGCATTTGTCTCCAAGGTACATCAGCCCAGGGGGGACAGGCGGGCTCTGGTTCTACTCATTTTCTATTATCCATGTGACTAGTCTCTGGCATGCTGGAGTCACTTTGATTTGCTTGATACACTGCTTGACAAAGCTGGGTGATGGCTGAAAAGTGGATCCAGCTGCTCTGAAAAGCGCACACCTGACATGCCAGTCCTGGTGCGGGCACATCACGGGGAGCGTTTTTTTAATTCAGTGTAATTTATGCATTCTCGCAGTCCTGTGTGTGCCTGGTTTGTCATCCCCAGCCCAGATGAAGGCTGACAGTTGTCATCTAGGGCCTGAAGGTAGCCTCACATAATGACACATTAGACATACTAATGATGTTTTCTTCCAGCATAATGTTTTCTTCTCAACTTTTTTTTTTCTTTTCCCCCCTCCTCCTTCCTATCAACAAAAGGAATGCTTAGGACACAAGCACGCCAAGGAGATTATGTTTGCATCGAGTGTGGAAAGTGTTTCACCCAGCCAAGCCATTTAAGGACCCACATGAGGTCCCATACAGGTAGATCCTACGCTTAATTGTCTGTTTTAAAGTGACAACATTTGTGTGATTTGCAAGACTAACCTGCTTTTAAAATACTGTTTGTTGCTTTGGCTTTATGTATATACTTGCATTTTCTGTCTCTTCAGAATTTAAGGGAAATTTGTGGTGGTTTTGAGCTGAAATAATTTGTAGGGCTGTGATGGGATTTAATTAGGTTTGTCCTAAGAAGGGACTTTGTATTAATAGCAGAAGAGGTTTTAGTCTTGGCTGAATTTTTAACTTCCTGTGGCCTCCAAAGTGTTAAAGCCATCTGTTGAGATGTGTCAGCTGTACGTTCCTGTTGGTGATTCAGGAGAAGAATCTCTTTTTGATGGGAAAGGTTAACAAAAGACTGCAATGATTATGAATAAATATGCAAGTGATTCATTTTGCCACAAGCACACCAATATACAGCTACTCATTTCTGCATATCATTAACCCCTGTTTTACATGATCATCTCCATTCTCACCTTATGACATTTTTCTTCATGGGAAAATGCTCTCTCTAGTCTGGACAGTGATAATTGAAACATAATTAACACAGCCATTTAATATGTATTTAAACCTAGACCAATTTATTTGTTGCTCTTATTACACTGTAAGCTAGGTAGAGATGAAATGTGCTATGAGCAGTCTGACAGCTTTAGACTAGTGGGCTTTGGTGCAGAAGTGTGAATGATGCATACATAAGCCACTCTGATGTGAAATGACAGAGGCCAAATGGTAAGTAATGCAAGTAGAGGGTCCCTTTATACACACACTGATAATTAATGTTGTCAGTGATTGCTTTCTTCAGCACCAAAATCTGAATTAAAAAGGGCAGTGGCCTTAGGCTGCCATTAGCACACACTCTCACTGAAAGTGTTACAGTAAATTGGTATGTACTGGCCACAGGCAAGTAGCTGGTGTCTTTTTTTTTTTTTTTTTTCCTCCTCCCTTCCCTATTTAATGTGGTTAAACTGTAATGGTCTCAATGATGTACACACACTAACTCAAGCTTCAATGCTCCTCTGTTTAACAAGACCCCTTGTTCCCACAGTGGTTTTTGAGTCTAATGGACTCCGAGGTACTGAAGTTCACACCACCTCCGCAGATGCCCCAAAACAAGTATGTTGTCAATGAATTGAGTGTTTGGTTTTTTGATGATTGCTGGGGAGAAAAGTCGCATAGCAGTACTCCTCAGTAAAGCACTGACCTTTTTTTTTATCATCAATGCCAAGATTATCACTGTATACTGACCCACTATGTGAATATTCAGCCTCCCCAAAACTGGAACAAATAACCAATCATACGCTATACATCTCTTAACATAGCAAATATATATATGTATGTATGTATGTGTATATATATATATATATATATATATATATATATATATATATATATATATATATATTCTATATTTTATAAAAGGAGGAAACCTGTCTGTGTTTTTCTGAAGAGTATACTTCAGTGTCTGCTCATGAACTCTCTAGAGCAATGCCTTACCCTGACCTTCCAGCTTCTGTGGACTCTGTATGGTGGTGTGCTTTCCTCTTTCTGATGTCCAGTGTCTTCTATCTTAACAGACTCCCTTTCTATTTACTTCTGACTTCTAGCCTTCCTTTACCTGTAGAAGAATGTGAACACACTTTCTTGTTGAATGAAATGTACCTGAAGCCACTGATGACTGTAATCACATGACTAGTGTTTAAAAAAAAAAAAAAATCACTTGTAAAGACTTAAACATTTAAAACCTGCCATGCAAAAATCACAAGCAAATAACATTTACATTTCCCCACTCGGTATACAGTAAAGAAGCATCTGTGAAGAATTATTTTAGGTAGTTTATCACAACAAAAAAATGTTTGCGCTTTTCACACATCCTGTGACACACCATAAACATTTGCTATTCCTTGATGCAATTTTAATTTGGCTCAATAAAAATGTAGTAATATTCAAGAAAAGTTGAGAACTAACCATGTTTGTTGCCTCTTATTAGCAGTAAGATTAACTAAGCCGTGGAACAGATGTTTCTAAGAAATTCTAGCCTTAATGGAACAGCAAAGGATGATATGTTCATCTTATATTTCTGCCTTAGATGTCATGAATTACATTGGAGGCAGCTCTTTCAAATATCAGATAACATCCTTAAAGCAGCAAAATATGTATCATATAAATAACTTGGGTGTTAGTCAAAGGTACAATATACAGTAATTTGTATATGGTATATTCTTGCACTTTTTTCTTTTCCTGAATCCAAATGGAACAATCTTTTATTAAATTGTTTGGAGGGTCCACATATTTTTTTGTATCCGATTTACTGAATTGGCCCACTGTAAACCTGTGCTTCTTCAACTTTCTCTCTCTCTCTAAACTTGTGTCAAGCATTTCGACACTCTTCAAAATACTACCATTTACAAGCACCGTACATTTTTTTTTTTTTTTATGAGTAGGAAGTGCTCCTCGACAGCAGTTAAGACTTCTGCTGTCTTCCAGGCACTTCACAAGCCCTGTACCTTTTGTGAGACGTCTTTTCTCTAGTGGTCAGGAACAGCATGTTTACAGAAAGGATGAATGTAGACACATTGTCAGGCCATACTGTTGGAAATAGGATTTTCAGATCTTTAGTAAAGTTAAGCCAACATACAGGCATAGGCTGCAGGAAAAGTGCAAACCGTGTAAAATAACCACCACAGCACAGGGTCATTTGGTATGGTAAAATCATACCTGTAATAGAAAAGGCACTATAATTAGTGGTCTATATGTTGTGATGCCACATGTTTGCTTCTTCTCGGCTGCTGCGATTCATTTGACCGGCCCAATGGTTATTCCTGCTGGCTCATGTGTCCTTTCAGGAAATACCAGCCAGTAGGAGAAAACACAACAGTGAAAACATATTCAACCTGCCTGAGGACCTGTTCATATCTAGCAATTTGGGATCGCAGGCAGAATTGCCACAATTCCACCCACAATTCCTAATCACACTGCAATCCTAGCAAAACACTGCACACGTGTTTGTATGCTATTTTTTTTAAAGGCACCTAAACCATGGTGTGTTTTTGCCATAGCAAACCATATCACTTGAAGCTTGCTGCCCAAAAAGAAGCAGGAGCTTCTGTTGGGTGACAAGCGTCACGAGATGCGGTGTACTGCAATAAATTGTACAACAATCGCAGAAAAACCGCACTGCATTTTTAGGTACAATTAAAAATTAATGGCACACAAACATGCATGCTGCTTTTTTTTTGCCAGGATTGCACTGCAATTTGGAATGGTGAGCAGAATTGTGGCTATTCCACCCTTGATCTCAGATTGCTAGATGTGGCCAGGGCCTGATACTTGCAGTGGCTGGTGAGAAGCAAGAGGTGGAATATCAACAACTGGGCTGCTAGAAAGTATAGAACCTCTTTTATTACAGGTATGCTTTAACATACAAACTGACCTTGTGCTGACAGGGTCACATTATGTGAAATCACAACTTCATGTCAAATGGTCACAGATTTATAGAGACTGCTTTTTATGTTTGGTGTAAGAATGTCTATTCTGCAAAGTTTCCAGTTTTCTTTGCTCTCCTCCTTGTCTTCGAACCTGAAGAGGCCATACCCATAAATGAAGAATGCCTTTACCCTTGTAGTGATGTCAAATGTATCCTTTGCTAGAAGACCACATTTACAGATTGTTATATTCTTTCATAGCAGAAGTTGGGGTAGGAAATAAAATCCCTATAAAAGTTAACTTAAAACAGAAATACTTCCATTCGCACTATAGTTATTTTACTGAAACAATTGTTAAAGGGAATTCAAGGTATTGGTGCCCATTTAAGAGCAACTGGGATGTGAGTGGGGGGATACTTCAGCAAGCAGCATCTTGATTTTAAAAATGCATGCAATGTCCATTGATTGTAGACACATTATAGAGTGCGTGTTTAGGAGGAGTATGAGAAAGTGAAGTTCGAGGAAACCCTTTTTAGTATAAAAATACTACTACCGTACATGGGGATTGAATAGTAACCCCTAAAAGTGATTCAATCTTAATTCCTACAATTCCTTACAAACATGGCTAGTAGTATTGCAATATACCCCATTATTTTTAATTGTTCTATGTGATGACGGAACACTAGTTGGAAAACCTGACTTTGAAATACAGGTTTATTGGCATGTTGATCATGTACAATGTGTACAGTATTTTGTGATCTTTACAGTTCCATATGTGGAGATGATTAAATATGTTCTCAAATTATGTATTTTTTTTAAACTTCCTGAATTGGTGAGACTTTTAATCCCAAAACAAAAAGGCCAGTTGTCTTTTACATTACTTTATTGATATGAACTATTTTGTAAACTTCTTTTTTTTTTTTTTGTGGTATAATAGACCTTCCAGCCCATTGTGTTGAAATTGATTGCAGTTACTCTAATTTTTAGACGTTCCCAAAATTAATTCTGGTATTTATATTTGTTATAAATACACTTCTCCTAATTGTAAATATTTTTGATCAGTTTTGCTGGTAGTAATATTCTATTCCATTAATCATAATAACGGACAATGCACAAATACCCAGCAGCGTACCTTGCAAAACTCGCATGGAAAACGTAATCAAAACATTTCAAAGTAGATCACATTTGTTTAAACTAAGGAACATTTACTATCTTACACAGCTGTATTGGTGTCAGTCCCTGTGATAACAAGACCTAACTTGTATCCATTTGGGTGGTACAAATGGTAATTTTATACAACATGGCTGTTACAGAATGTTTACTTCTTATTGGTTTACCATTGTTATGTATTAATATCAAATTTTTACAGAATTTGCTTGGTTGGTTTGTCCTGATTAAAAGTGATTTACAGTTCCTAACTAATTTCCCTTATTAGGTCAATGTATTAATGAAACATTAGGCATGCCATGTTCTAAGAGCATGGCATTGTTCTGTGACGTGCGAAATGTCATTGTTAAACAACACTGTGAAAGCTTCAGGCTCACATTAGTTCACATTTTAACGGTTAGCTTTTTTTTCCCTCCCTCTACTTAAGAACCTCCTCTCTGTGATTCTTTAGTGAAATTTGCTGCAAATCCTGTTTAGGTTTTGTCAGATGTGTATGAGAGCATTACTGTGGTTTCTTTGCTGTGTGGACATACAAAGAACATTTTACTTTGTTTATTGTCTGCTATTTCATTTTTTTTTTTTTTTTTTTTTTAAAGAACTGTTACCTGTTTTCCTTCACTGCCCCTTTTCCTTTTCTTCATTGTGGCCTCAGGTCACGTTTTGACATTTGCCAGATCATTTTAAGGAACTTGATATGCTTTGTTTTCTTGAAATAACAGATAGGTTAATTCAACTGGAGTTTAACAGACATCGACTAGATTCAGCTAGACTTAAGTTACCCAAAGACATTTAGTATGGTTTTTATTCAACTACTAATGATTTAGTGAAAGGGGTTTTTTTCCTCCTGGCAAGCCTTAAACCATTCTGATGAAGAATGCAATATAGTGTGCAGTCATAGTCTGTAAAAGTCGTAGCTATCTTTAATATAATCAGCACAGTCAAAAATTATGTCCACCGATTTAGACATTTGTAAATTTGAAAAGGCAAGTGTACTTTTTGTTACTCATTCAGCACTTCAGTTTCTCATAATATGACTAGCAGAGCAGTGCACTACCACCCACTCTTAGTCTGTGTGGCTTTTCTGTGGCAGGTAGTGCATTGACTTCTGTGGTAAGTGCACAGGAACTGTGGCTGGTTTGCCATTTTTGGCTGTGTGCCAGCCCAGTGCAGACCCAACACCCAATCCTATTTGGAGTGAGCTGCCCTCCTAATATCCTGTAAATGCAGCAGCATTTGATGTAAATGCTACATTGGCCACAGGCAGGGTAAGAGGTGATTATGTGAGTCATCACTTTTACTCAATAGGAAGAAATATGTTGCTTAAACCAGCCCAAAATTACAATGTTGACCTCAGCCGCTGCTGCGGCCACATGCTCTGACACGTTCCACCCGAACCACTGGGGCTTGGGCTCTATGGACAGGGCAGAAAGCATCAGTGGGGGTGGCCGGAGCAGCAGCTAAGGCCAACACCGCAACTTTGGTTTGTGTGGCATCTTTCTTCCTATTAAATCTACACTTTTGAATTGGTGTATTGAAGCTTGCTCCAACGTTCTGAGCACAGGCTGGGAAATCTCACATCCTTGGCTTTGAGCGGCGCTACAGGTATCCCGGGATCATCATGGGTACTTTTGGCTTTTCGTGATTAGGTTGACCCTGCCCACCAGGTACCTTGTCTCCCTGTTTCTTTCATTTGGTGGGCATGATATTAGCAAATAGGAAGGCGAGTTGGGGTAAGCTTTTTGAGGTTTTTTTTTTTTTTTTTTCTTCAGAGGGAAACCTCTGCTTCTGAATTTTATTTTGTATGATCAAGTTTGTGATATGTTTCCTTTAAAAGTACACTTGGTGGGTGAATCAATCATAATTATTTAAAACACATACAACTTCTAGATTCACCTTCAGTGAATGTTTGCAAATGTCAAATTCACTGCTTTATTAACCACTTGTCCTCCATAGGATTTACCCCTCTTCCTGACCAGGTCATTTTTTGCGATATGGTGCTGTGTTACTTTAGCTGACAAGTGCGTGATCATGCAACACTGCACCCAAATGAAATTTATGTCCTTTTTTATTTTTCCCCACAAATGGTGTTTTTTTTTTTTGTTTTTGTTTATAGCGCAAAAAATAAAAACCGCAGAGGCGATCAAATACCACCGAAAGAAAGCTCTGACAATATTAAGAAAAAAAAACAATATTTTTAACTTTTTTGCTATTAAACCGGTCCAGTAAAAAAAAATTTAATCAAATTTCATAATAAATTTAGGCCAAAATGTATTTTGCTACATGTCTTTGCTATAAAAAAAAAAAAAAAATCCCAATACGTGTAAATTAATTGGTTTACCTAAGTTATAGCGTCCACAAATGACTGTGTATATATACTGGTATTTTATTTATTATTTTATACTAGTAATGGCGGCGATCAGCGACTTCTATAGCGGGACTGCGGCAGGCATTCTGACACGGGGGGGGACTGACTGTCACGGACTTCCCCAGTGACACTAATACAATGATCGGTGCTAATAAAAAGCACACTGTACTAATGACACTGGGTAGGAAGGGGTTAACATCTGGGGCGATCAAAGGATTAACTGTGTGCTGTTTTACTGTGTGCTGTGTGTGTGTGTTTTACAGTGTAAGCATGCTGCTTTGTATTGCTCTGCTATGCAAAGCAATACAAAGCAGCATGCTGTAGCTGACGGGAGAGATCTGTATTCTTTACATACAGACCTCTCCCCTGTCGGTGTTCCTTGGCGATCGCCGGGTGTTGATGGGGAATCTCCAGCTGGGACCCAGTGATTGACAGCTGAAGCTGCCAGTAGTGGTGCAGGTAGGGAGTGCTCACCCCCTACCTGGAAATAAAAAATCACGTGTGTATATATACGTGATTTTGCGCAGCCCTGCCACCCTGTAGCAGTATTTCTGCTTTGGGGCCGTGGGCAAGCGGTTAAAATGCCCCTTATTCTTCGACAAGAAGAAAATAAATATTTGCAAGCTATTCAGCTATGAGTAGATTTAATACCATATGGAATACCCTAGTATATTTTTGGATTGAGAGAAAAAATTGGAGAACAATATCCAGATTTCAAGCTAGTTCTCATTGTTGGAACTGCACACTGGACCATAGCTAAGCTACTATGTTTTCTGAAAAATAAGATGTTTGCAAAAATAGCACACTAGAGCCCCATGTGATTCCTGGCCTATGGTCTGAAACATGAAAATGTTTTGATAAACAGGACTGAATATCTATGGGTAACTTAAGCTTAATTCGGTAATGACTGTATATTGTAACCAGATAACCAGTACTACTTTGAAAAAAGTGATTTTTCTTGTGTTTTTTTTTTCTCTCTTAGGGGAGAGACCATTCCAGTGCAGATATTGCCCATACAGTGCCTCTCAAAAAGGGAATTTAAAGACTCATGTGCAGTGTGTACATCGGGTACCTTTTGATAACAGTGAATACCCTGACAAACAGCTCCTCCGACCCCAAAGTGACAATCCCACCAGTTACATGGAGGACCAGCTGGAAAACTTGCCTTCTAATCATCAAGTCGCTGGAGCTGTTGCATTGAAGTGAAGATAAAATGTGACACCTTCCCTCTTAGTGCAGCGATATTCCTGTACTATATAGTGTTTTATAATAAAGATGTAGGTGATACTACATCCATATCCTTTAAAATGCTATGTAGACTTTGTTAAAAAAAAAAATAGATAGTGAGATGGCACATGACTCAGTCATGAAACAGAGTTTCATCACACACTGGATGGAAGGGTACAACATAACACAGCTGGGACAGTTTAAGCACTGATCTGTAATCTACTCCAGAGGACTAATTTTGAGTGTCAGAGGAGTAGCTGAGACAAGGCACAATAAGTAACGCGTTGGATTTATTTACCACTGATTTGCTTAAAGCCGGACTGTTCAGTGATGCTGCATAATAACATGCATTTATTGAATCTGAAGGCCAGCCCACAAGTTTGATGGTCTTAATTCTGACGGCAAATCACAAGGTGCCACCACGTTCTGCTGTTGACAGAAGTGAACAATAAAACACTTAACGTGATGCTACATGAACACTAATACAGTAGGAAAAATGCTTCTTGATTTTACTCTCAGGACTTTTTTTTTTTTTTTAATAATAGGGCTACTTTCTTACACCTGCTCACAAATGATTATGCAATGTTTCCCTTTATAAATGCCACCCAGCAGCTGCAGAATTTAGTACTGTACTAGGTAGGGAAATTAAAAAAAAAAATAAAAAAATAGTTGCGCATGGGATAGCATGTATGCATCTCCTCACTGCAAAAACCACCCTTCTCCAAGCCGGTACCTTGAGAGAGGTCTTAAGATTTTTTTTTCCTGTATAGCATGTTTGATGATGTTGCTTATTAAGTTGTCTCTGTTATTTGGTGGCATTCAGGTTGTGGGGGGAATGAACATATAAAAAAAAAGCTTTTTATATACCTCTTCTGCAGCATTTTTTTATGGTGAGGTGATGGTAAACAAAAATAAAGCAGCGAACTCGGTTGAGCCCTTCAGTCTAGCAGACAGCACTACAGTGCTGTTCACTGAGAGGGATTACATATGTGTTCCATAGATATTATTTTGCCCATTGTTGCTGTGACACCATGTGCTACAACAACAACACATCTAAGAGTTCCAAATTTTTGCACATATGAGTTTATGCATTATCAACAAAAAGTTACTGCTGCCTTGAAAAGAATATGTTCTGTGAAAAAAAATGCAAAAGCTTTACTAGTGTGTGTGTTTTTTTTAATTGTAACCTTTTATAAAGGCAGGAAATGGGTATAAAATAAAATCCTAGCATGCTAAATATATTTTTCAAAAAAGCAATAATTTTACATGTACAGATAAAAAAAAAAATCTAACCTTTTAATACTGGTAAGAGCGACAGTTTACTTTGTACTATAAAGAATAGCTTGTTTTTTGTAGTATGTGGGCTTACGATAAAGATTTTGTTTCAAAAGAGTTAAAAAAAAAAAAAAAAAAAAAATAGGCATTTTTTGAACAGATATTTTAATGTAGTTTATTATTTTATTCTGGATTCTTTAAATACATTTTCAATTCTTGTATGGTTATACCAGAAACTAAATGTTTTAATTTTGTGTGGTGATAAGCTGGGCACCATTTTATTTCCTAAATTTGGTGTCTAGAGTATTGCCTGGGTAGGAGGTGGATTCAAAAATGCTTACATCTGAAGTGTTTTATTGTTTTAAATATTTTATTTTGGATTCATTCCATATCTTTGCTAATAATTAATCTGGTTAATAACGGTTTCCTCCATTAATATGACTGGACACAACACTTCATTATTTTTTTTGTGAAATGTCATCACTTTGAAAAAACACAGTGATTAAATACTATAACACACAGTCTACTATTAGAACCTTCAAAACGTGACACCTATGGTATTAAACACTCTAGCTTGGAGTGATCTTACAATTAAATAGAGTCTTGATTCAGTTTGGCACAGGTTTTGAAGAACATCTGACAGTTGGCAGGAAGCATGGCTGTCACTGATGCTACAACAAAGTTTACAATGTCAATGTTTCTTTATGGAGAACAACAGTAGGGGGAAACCATTGTAGATAATTACATGCTGTGTACAGTGCAGAAATAAGATTCTCTTAATTGAACAAGCATTAAAAAAATAAAAATAAAATCTCCACGGATCCTAACAATTTATTTTTTTTGTAATATCACCCTATTTAGTGGTGTAGCTTTTGTGATATTTTATTTTATCATCAGTATTGTGTTGATTTGTTATTGTAGAAATCCTCTAGACTATAGTATTTAAATGATTTTTGTTTTGTTATTTATTTAGTTAACCTGTTTGATCAGCTTTTCAAAATAAAATACTTTAGCCTGATACACTCCTGTTAACTATCTGTGGACTGTTACATAAATTTTCCTACTACCTCTACCAATCTACTGTTTCTCACTCTTTAACAGGTTATTTTTTACAGCGCTCTAATGTAATTTACACAATAAAGGGTTTGATTGTTTACACTGGATGTGTACAGACTCTTATTTTGTTGTTTCTATTATAGTATTGTTTTTGTAACTAGAAGTGCCTATGGCCAAATATGTGCTTAAGCAAAACTTTTTAAATGTAATCATCATGACATAAATAATGGTTGTCATTTGATCAAATACACAAGCAGATAGTCCTATTACCCTGTTTATCTTTCTAACAGTATAGTATCCAGTTTGTTGTGAGGCTGAGGTCGAATGGTGCTAGAGTCACCTTTGACTGCAAGGTTAATGGACACCTTTTAAAGTTACACAATAATCAGTCCACATAAAAGTACTGCAATTGCTTAGTTAGGACACTTACTGTGTGAAAGTGGAATTCAGAAATGGTTAGCAGTCTACTTGTGTAATCCTAGAACAGCGGGGCATACAGGCAAGATATTTCTGTAGCAGAGGCCTGGAATGTGACGTCTCAATGCAATGCTGATTTCAGCCCATGTCCTTTTAAAGTTGTTTAAAATTGTTATGGGTTGTAGTTATTAGGTGGTCATACTTATTCTGAAGCCTAAATATTTAGTAAACCGTTTGACCCAGAGGGAAGCACAAGGGCTTGGATTTCTAACTTGACAGTTGGCTTACTTACGTTACACTTACTTAGCCAGTCATTCGCTTCAATAAGTGGGGAAGACACAGGATGATCATGACAGGCAGGGTACAAAAATAAGCTTCTGTATTTCAGTCTTGCATGATTACTTTAAAAGCTATATAGAAGTCCTTGGCTGACTTACTGTTGGTCCTAGGATCACCATTCTTGTATCATGCTTTGGTAATAGGCCTAGAATGAGTATGCCCACCAGTGTAAATGTACACAGAAATATGAATTTGATATGACTGTGAAACCATTCTGGCACGCTTTTTCACAGAACGGTCTCCTGGTGAAAATGTTTCATCCCTGAGCTCAGAATACATTTCCACACTGATAAATTGTATACTTTTAACTTACTGGCCAGTGCAGAGTTCTGTTCATTGTTTTTGTTATTTTGTACATTATTAAAATACCGACGGGTGATAAATACCGAATGATGTGCGTGTTCTTTAGTGATTTGCCTTTTTATTTTTTTCATTGCAGTATTTACTTTACATTTTTAACAAATGTAAATGATGAATTGACTCTTATTACCTCATTGATATTTCTGTAATATTGCATGTGGTATCCTTTCGTGAATTGCCCCTTAGGTCTTTACAGCTCATGCCTAATCTTTCTTTATTTAAAAATAATTATGATTGTAGTAGCAAAACTGCACCACATTTCCTCTGTAGCTTTCAGCTGCAGAATATGTGCACCTTCTAGAGATTCATTATGGTACTGCAATGTGTAAGTGTGGTAAAGGAACTGAAACATTCATTATTCCTCAAATTTAACACTGAAGGAATTTATTTTTGAGCAACAAATGTTGGTTGGTGATACATAATTCTTGGATTATAATAAAAATTCTTCAGTTGTGTGTTTTGTTTTTTTTTTTTTTGTTTTTATTTTATTTCAATTATTACAAATATTGTAGCTGCTGACTTTTAATAAGGAGACACTTGTCAAGGGATGCAGCACTGTCCTCATCAGTCTTCAGGTCAATGGCACCACCTTGTTACCTGTGGGATGCCAGCTGTGGCTTCACAGCTGACTCCCCACTGTGCATGTGCGAGCCATGCTACACTCTGTGGTTGGTTCAGCAGCCTCCTGGGACCTGTGTTGTGTCCCAGGGGGGAAAGAGGGGCAGGGTTTAGGGACTTCGGTAGGACCACCTAGATTCCAGCAGAAGTGGGAGCAGGTACCTGTTAGAAATAGGTGCCCCCCCCCCAAAAGGACTAAAAGTGTTGATTATATATATATATATATATATAAGTATTTGATCCCCTGTGCTGATTTTGAATGTTTGCCCACTCACAAACGATCAGTCTAAAAATCAAATGGTAGGTGTATTGTAACACTGAGAGATAGAATAGCAACAAAAAATTCAAAAGAAATGCATGTCTAACAAATTATGCAGATTTGCATATTCATAAGGGAAATAAGTATTTGATCCCCAGTCATTCAGCAGGATTTCTGGCTACCAGTTGTCTTTCATACAGGTAACAAGCTGAGATTACAAGCAGTCTCTTAAGGAAATAAGTATTTGATCGCCTTCACAAAACATGACTTAGTACTTGGTGGCAAATCCCTTGTTGGCAATCGCAGAGGTCAGACGTTTCCTGTAGTTTCACCACCAGGTTTGTACACCTCTCAGGAGGGTATTTGGCTCACTCCTCTTGGCAGATCCTCTCCAAGTCATTAAGGTTTGGTGGCTGACGTTTGGCAACAAAAACTTTCAGCTCCCTCACAGATTTTCAATCGGATTAAGGTCTGGAGACTGGCTAGGCCACTCCAGGACCTTAATGTGCTTCTTCTTGAGCCACTCCTTTGTTGGCTGTGTGTTTTGGGTCATTATCATGCTGGAACACCCATCCATGACCCATTTTCAATGCCCTGGCTGAGGGAAGAAGTTTTCTCACCCAAGATTTGATGATACATTGACCCGTTCATTGTC